TGCAAATCATTACTAGTCGTCTTACGGGCGAGGCTACGTCGCTTATCAGTGAACGGGAAGATAAAGAGACGTGGGCCGAATTCAAGGAATTGTTTTTAACTCACTTCGGCGACCCACGTAGCGAGGAATGTTTAGGCATAGAATTAGAAACTTTAAAGAAACACCAAAATGAAAATTATACAGATTTTTGTGGTCGTATACAATCCGTTAAATTAGTGTTATTATCGAAGGTTAATCAAATTGGTGATAAAAACTTAAAAATAAGTAAAACTATTATTTATAATAACACCGCTCTTCAGGTTTTCTTATATAATTTATCCGAAAATATGGTGCGCATTGTTAGGTTGAAAACACCCAGTACACTAGAAGAAGCACTAAGTATAGTTCTAGAAGAAGTAAACTTCGATGACCAATATCAGATGCGTAGTAAAATGTTACAGTCAAGCCATACGTCTAGGCCACAGTCTAGTAGTACACTAGTGCAACAACCATCGTTTAAGTTCGCAATGCCAACACAGCCTACAGGTTTTAGACCAATGTTAGCACCAAACCAACCCCCTAAGCAGAATTTCGGAACACCACCTCAATTTAAGTTTGGCATTCCCAATAGTAGACAAATGAGGATTCCGTTACCACAAAATAAGCCTCAACAGCAAATGAGTTTTCCTAAGCAATATCACCCACCTAATTTTGGATACCGACCATACTTTGGATTTAGACCCCCGGACTATAGCCCCATGCAACCAATGTTACCACAACAGTTTGGTAATTCTCAGCGTTTTAATTATCCTAATAATAATAATGTGCATAACAAGCCGGTTTCTAATAATACTGATGTTTCTATGAGAACTGCCCCTCCAAAGCCTTTTCAACCAGGATTCCGCCTAAACGAATTAGAAATTTGTACATCATACTATCCCTACGAATTTCCTCAAAATTACATGTATGAGGAAACATACGACAGTTATTACGGAAATGAATCCATACAAGAAAATTCTGTAATAGAGGCTGATGAAAACAATGATTCAGAGGATAATGACATGCCTGCACAGACTGAAAATTTTAAAGTAAAAGCCTCCGAAAACCACCTGAAATAACAGAATTGAATTGCGACATAAATCTAAAACTACCATACATATATATACCTAATTTCTTTTAAGTTTTTCAAGTTTTTCTTTTTAAGTTCTTTTATAAGCCCCGATAAAGCACATCAATACTACCGTAATTATATAACAACTGAACCCTTTAAAGTTATAAGCACTCATGCATCTATCAAATACAATCAGGTAATTAAAATTCCACTATTTTCTATATTTCAAAATAATGGCGAACATAAATTTTATCTTTATAATGTCGATTCACGTTATGATGGGTTAATTGGGAATGATTTATTAAAGCAGTTGGAAGCTGTAATAGATTTAAAGAAACAAGTACTTACCACAAATTATTCTAAAATACCTATAATACACAATAGCTTAGAATATGCTGTAATACTTTCACCTCGTTCTGAAGTTAGAGCAAAATTACCTGCTAACATGTTTTATGGTGAAGGAATATTAAATTATACCCGATTCTGTGATGGAGTGCGCATGCCTTCTGCATTGGTAAAATGTGAGAATGGCTATGCCACTACAATTATACAAAATACGTAAATGAATTTCAAAATATGAACACACAAGTAAATTATTTAAGTAACTTTGCTGTAGAAAAGTTTAAACAACTCATACTTTCGATACGTTTCAAGCGCGGTCTTATTAATCCATTAGATTCTGTTATCAAAGCGCTTACAGGAAACTTAGACCACAATGATGCAGTAAAATACGACAATCTCATATCTCAATTAAAGACCCAGCAAACGCACACTAATAAGAAAATAACAATAATCTCGGAGATGCTTGACTCTCTTATAAATAGTACTGGATCTCTACAGGAAACTATGAACATTGTAAATGAATGAATAAAACGTATAGAAAGAATTGTAAAATATATAATTACTAAAGATAATAACAGCATATACTCCACATATGTTTGAAGTATGTTTAAAATGTTTGTCAATAAGTTTAGAACTATATACTTAATTTTAAGCGAAATAGAAACGAAATTAGCATTTACTAAACTTCACGTTCTACATCAACCCATTGTTAATTCCACCGAATTACTAGTAATATTAGTTAGAATCTATATCTCAAACAAACAGTTTATTGTATCCTATTACTGAATACAATTTAGTTAATTTAGAATAGAATAGAATATTTTTTATTCAATATACATTACATGTGTAATTCTTATTGAAAGTCATTTTTTACTTTACCACTGGTTCGAAAAAAAAACCCTCTGTCCTGGGAAGAACCAGCAAGAAACCCAGCGGGACTATTTTTTTAAAATAAATTTTACAATATTAATTATTACGAACTATTTACAAAATTTATTTTAGAAACTGCTTGGAAGCGACCACCTCATTCCCAGGGCTTATTATCAACCATGTATTCATTTATACTATAATAACCCTTTTTATACAGTTTCAGCTTAATAAAACATTTAAACTTGGTAATAGAGAGAACCTGTACACTTTCCGGGACCTTGTTGTAATAGTGCATACATTGCCCCAATAATGAACTACTGACTCTGTGGAGTCGAGAAACTGGCATCACTAGCTTGTGTTTGTTCCTAGTATTCATATGGGACTTCAAGTCATAACTCTGCTATCATAATGCTTATGCATCATAGAGACCTTCTATATTAATGCTTTGGTTCGTCAGACCTTACTATGTTAAGTCCCTAATATAGGACTAGTCATTGTGCAACCTTAGTACTAGCAGTCGGTCAGCCGACCACCCCATATATATGTACAACCTTGGGTATGTGTCTCCGACAACGCCCCAATATAAGGGAACATTACAAGAACACGTTCATTAACTTAGAAATTTTCCAATTATTACACGAACACCTTCATCAACTTAGAAAATTTTAATCCATTTTTTCTATTATATTACAAATGTTATTTATCTTTGTTATTGCAATATAAACGCCTTGTATTTATATGATTTGATATATTTTGAACATTTTAAGCAGGTTTTTAATAAATTTAGAGATTTTTAGAGACATTTTATGCGTTTACTAATATTATAATATTCAATATTCCAAATGGATATTTTTGAACTTTATGCTTATTATTTGTATTTTATTGTTTAAATTATAATTTCTATGACATTTTTAAATGTCTGTATAATGAATTTAATTATTATTTATTAATAATAATTATGAGGCGTCACAATCCACCCCCAAATTTTATGTTAATGATCCACATAGTGGAGTCGTTAATATAAAATTTTAGTATTTTGAGAGCATATACACTACACTCAAATAATTGTTTATATATCTGTTCTTTCCTCTTTTAATCTGTTACAATACGGCATATGTTATCAAATCCCCCTGCCCCAGGGAATGGCCGCCACCAACACCCCTTCAACCACAATTATCACAATGTGATAACACCATAATTCAAGTTATTGTATATCGTGTTGTTAATAAAGTTTGCAGTCAATTGTCGATTTCTTATTTTATTAATTTATCTTTAAATCTTTGAAACATTATTTCGATAGTGTCACACTTTATGTGCATACAATCCAGTTTGATATTTGTTGAGGTCAGTTCGATACCACATAGGATAAATGTGTTTGAGCCATTCGCCCTGACCCAACTCCCATATTTATTTAATAAAAATGATTACAAAATTATCTTACGATCTATATTTACAACTCTTCATTATATATTAATAACGTTCTACTATCATATAACAAATCTCTTGCTCATAACTTTAATAATTTTAGACCTTTAACTTAAACAATTATTTCCATGGGCCACCCACAAAACCCTTTTATGTTACAATATTTATTTAATTACTCTAATTTATACAAAAAGAAATTATTATTTAAAATATTTTAATAAGTGAATAGCATTGAAAATTCCTCTAATTTCGTTTGTCTCTGGATTTGCTAAGGTATATACATTGTCAAATGGTACGGCTGCTATTACATAAGGTCCTTCATATGCCAAATTAAACTTACTCATAACTTTATTATCAGCGTCTGATCTACTATATCTTGAAATTTTTACTAAGTCACCAATATTATATTTTATTAATCTATTTCGCTTATCAAATTTTGTGTTTCTTATTCGACTTGCCTCTTTTAAATTTTTACGCACTTGTTGTCTAATTTGTTCGACATTATGTTTGTCTTTACTTTTGGAAATTACTTCGTCAAAAGACATCTCATTAGACTCACCATAAAGAATCTCACAAGGCGTGAAGCCTGTACTATTGTGATTTGTATAAAAGAACTGAATTGTATAAAAGAATTGTATAATAATTCTTTTATACAATTCTTCTAATTTCGGCAATATTAACGCCCAATCTTTGTGGTTAGTATGACAAAGCGTCCTAAATAATCTGCTCAACTCTTTATTTACTCGCTCTGTTGTATTTGGTCTAGGATTTCTAACTGTGGTATATATTGGCTTTATATTTAATTCACTCATTGATTGTTTTCAGTGATTACTTACGAACTGTTTTCCATTATCTGTCATTATTGCCTTGGGCTTTATAATCTCAACAAAATGCTTTACTTTTGTTACAACAGACTTTGCTGTTGACTGTTTTAAAGGATATAATTTGATAAATTTACTGAATGAATCTTGAATGACAAATATGAAGGTGTACCCAAAGGTACCTGATACAAGTGGTCCATATAAGTCTGCCATGACTATATCGCCAATGTTTTCTGTTATTATAGATTTGCAGGGACCCACATATGTTATATTGCTTTTCTTAGATAACTGACATAAATGACAAGCCCTTAATTGGTTTTTAATATCTTTTGTTAAACCTTTCCAAAAGAATCTGTCTCTCACATATTTAATTACCTTATAGGGTCCTTGATGACCCATTTCGACATGCACTTGATTTATAATATCTTGTCTCAATGCTTTAGGTAAATATATTACTTCTTGTAAATTCGTTTTGTAATATAATACATCATTTTCAAACTATACCTTTTAAATTTATTGTTTTGTTTTATTATGGAAGTATTTAATGTCTTTAACTTTTCAATAATAGCCAACGACTCTGAATCTTGTAATTGATATACTGATAAGGATTTTAATTTTTCTATCAACTCAATATTCGGTTCGCTCTCTGTGTAAGCAATTTCTAAACTATTATTTTTATCCTCTTGTATTAAATCGCCATCAGGAGGATAACGTGATAGCACATCTGCAACAATATTACGTCTACCCGATATATGCTGTACTTCATAATTAAATTGTTCTATATACAAAATCCATCTGGTTACTCTACCATTGAATAACTTCATATTATTAATAAACAATAATGCTTTATGATCAGTTAGTATTATTACTTTACTGCCCCTCAAATATGTTTCAAATTTCTTTAGGCAGCTTATTACAGCATAAAACTCTTGTTCAGTAACAGACCAATTTAATTCGGGGCCTTTTAAGGCTTTACTATGATAGCCTAAAATTCTCATTTCATTATTATCATCTATCTGATATAGTACTCCGGCCATACCCACACCGGAACAATCTGTTTGTAAATAATACGGCTTATTAAAATCTGGATGATGCAATTGTATTGTATTAATAAATTGTTGTTTTATAAAATCAAATGCCTTCTGTTCTTTACCGCTCCATTGGAACTTTCGTCCCTTTTTAAGTAATTCACAGAGCGGTATTATGCTCTCGCTGTAATTTGGTATAAACCTTCTATAAGAATTGCATAGACCTAAAAAGGCCCTTAATTGTTTAATCTTCTTAGGTGCTGGAAACTCTTGAATCGCTCGAATCTTATCGGGATCTGTCTTTATGCCTTCTGTTGAAATTATAAAACCCAGCATTTTAATTTCTTTACAAATAAATTCACATTTCTGCAAGTTACACGTTAAGCCAGCTTTGTTCAATTTACTTAAAACAATATCAATGTGCTCCAAATGTTTATCTAATGTTCCTGTTGTAATAATGGCTAGATCATCTAAATAGTTCACACAAAATTCTTGGACTTCTGGTCCTAATATTAAATTCATGGCTCTGCTAAAGCTTCCTACTGATGTTTTTAATCCTTGCGGCAAAACATTATATACATATGACTTTCCATTGAATGTGAATCCAGTATATTTTCTACCATCTTTATTTATCGGAATTTGAAAATATGCATTATTTAAGTCAATGGTAGTGATATAATTCGCTCCGTGAAATGAATTCAAAACATCTAATTGTATAGGTGGTTTGTTTGTTTCTGCAAACATTTTCTTATTTATGCTTCTGGCATCAAGCAGAACTCTAATTGAGCCGTCTTTTTTAAGAGTGAATGTCAATGGACTACTGTAAGGCGTTGATGTCCTTGTGATGATACCAGCTTGTTCCATTTCATTTAACTTTTCTTCCATTTTCGCTCTATATGCATATGGAATGGGATAGGACCTAGTAACTATAGGTTCATCATCGATCATTTCAATTTTATGCTCATAGCAATTGGCTCTTCCCAATTTGCTCGAAAACATATTCTTATGCTTTTCCAAAACCTTACTAAGTTTTGCCCTTTCAGAGACCTCCAATGTAGATCCTATTTTTATATTTATTAAGGGATCATCGGTACATTGTTTGGTGCAGTTATTATGTAATACAGATTTATTATTATATTTGAAAGGTATAAAGTAGTCTTTGTTTTTCACTTTAAATTCTATTCCAACAGTAGTATTTCTCAAATCAATCAATATTTTGATTTGAGAAACTTATTTAAATTATTTCTCTTGAGCCAGTCAAAGCCTAATATTAAAGGTCTTATTAAATTACCTACAATTAAAGTTTGTGTTTCAAAGACTACTTCATCTATCTTTATAGGCAATATGATCATCTGTTGTATTTTTGTGCTGCGCTGCCCAACAGCACCTTTTATTTGCATTGCTTTAACTGGCATTATTGATATTTTACGATTATTATCTTTAATTTGTAAATATAAACTTTCTGAAATGCATGTAACATCGCTCCCAGTGTCGAGGAGCGCGTCTATTTCTTTGTCAAATATTGAAACTTTAATTTCAGATCTCATATTCCCTATAAATTCCCTTTGATATTTATCTTCGTCTTCCTCGAAGACGGTTTGCACGAATAACTCCGTTATGGGCAAGTCCGACCTGGCTTTTAAGGTGTTTAATATGCTATTTACATTGTCGTTATAACCAAGGCCTTCTCTGTTAAAATTTGCTTTTAAAGTAATACGTTTTCGCAACCCTCTATTGTTTTTACCCAATGTTTGACCAGGTCGCCAACCCAGTTTTAATAACATGTTTAATGCTTTGTTCCCTTTTACATTGTAAGGGGTCGAATCGGGAACTAGTTCGACCTCTACGGCTCTAAATTTGGCTCAGGGGCAGTGGAGTGGAGTTGCCAGAGCTCCCATCGGGCGCGTCCCCAGGTGGCGGATAGGGGAACGCCACTCAGATATGGGTGGTAGCGGGAAACCGTCGCGGACCAAAACTGGCTGGGTGAGGGCTTTTTTGCATAGCGGAGGGCCTATTAGTTGCTTCCTGTATCCTCTCCCTTGAGAGGAACAGAGAATGTGACATGCGCGGTGAGGTGCCAGGTGCACTCGGCTTTTGCCGACGCCGGGCAACCCGTAATCACGGGATTTTCAGGGACCACACCCTGTAAAAAAGGAAACTGAATGGGCTCAGTGTTCCCTAACCCGGTCTCTGGGCAGGCATGAGAAGAACCCGCATCGACTCTGCCACCATTCGAACCTCGGAATCCCTCTGGCGTGTCGTGGATCACGTCTCGCGGCGCCTTAGGGGCCGAGGGCTCTTGGCTTAACCGCCTGGAGTCGCGAGGATGATAACCTCTTTAAAAAATCACCCGAAGCTCAAGCGTGGCACGCCGTGAGGAGCTGCATGGCTGATGGGTAAATGTTCAGTCGTTAGCGTTGCCCCCGTCGGGGTACCGGCCGACACCCTTGACGGGTTACGCATAGGCTTATCCGGGCACAGGAGGCACTGCTCGGATGGACTGCTATTTCCTCCACACTCGTGGGAAAAAACATGGAAATATATAAAAACATTAAAAACGTAGAGGTAGAAAATCAGGCAGGATCTGATACTGGAAGCGGCGGAAATCGATCGCGTGGGACGTCTTCCGCTAGGAAACGTCCAGTGTGCCGATTGTCAGACGAGGAAGGTCTGCCGGCCCCCAAGTTGCCGACTTCGGGGAGGGGTCGGCAGGCATCTAGAGGGGCGAGTGCTTCGCAGCCGCGGAGGGATAAGCACGGACGGTTCGTGTGCTCCAATACCTCGGCGGCTAGTGAAGCAGATAGTGACATGGGGTTCACTACGGAGGACCCTGGCGATGGCGGTGAAAGCTGTGCCTCGCTGGGGAGCTCAAAGGCGGAGCTCAATGCCGCCAAGAGGGAGCAGCGCAAAGCCGTCGCGGCCGACGAAGTGTCGGAAATGGCCCGACGTGCTCGCGAGCGACGAGCTGCTCTTGCGGCGCAAGGGGGTGAGCCATCTGCGGTGGCCTTAAGCCAGCTGGCTCTGGATGGGGTGGACTTAGTCCTGAAGGTTGCCACCAAGTCCGGCAGCCTGAAGGGCACGTTCACCCGTGGCTTAAAGGAGGCTGCCGCGGATATCAGGGAGGCGGTTGGCATCCTCCTCAACAGGACGGCCTCTGACGAGGTCGCAAAGTTACAGGAGGAAAACAGCCGCCTCAGAAATGACTTGGAGGACCTCCGGCGGCAAGTTGCTGCGCTGAGCGAGCAGCAGCAGCAACGCACGTCCAGCGATGCCGCACCTGTAGTGGACCCGACTCCCGCACTGCGACCGGCAAGCCCTCGTACCGACGAAGAGGTCGAGCGCATTGTCCGGCTCTGCATGCTCCAGTGCGGGAGCATGGTTAACGCTCGGCTGGAGGCAATTTCTCGGCGTCTCCCGGTGGAAATCCTCCGTCCGCCTTTAGCGGCTGACACGCAGAGGACTGAGGAGCCGCCGAGACTTGCGCCTCAAAAGGGGAAGCCCGCGGAGGGTAACAAAAAGCCCGCGGAGGGAGCTCCTCCGAGCAACCAGCCCACGACTGCCGGGTCTAAGGGTGAGACCTGGGCGAAAGTCGTGGGCCGCAAGAAGGCCCGCAAAGCCGCCAAGAAGGCCGCAGCAGCCGCATGTGCCCCAGGTGGAACCGCAAAGACGGCTCCTAAACCTGCACAGCGGACTGCCAAAGGCGGTCGCAAGAGACCGGCTGTACATGTTCCGCGGTCCAACGCCGTGACAATAACGTTGCAGCCTGGAGCTGTGGAGCGTGGCGTGACGTACCAGTCGGTCATCGCCGAGGCCAAGGCCAAGATCAAATTATCTGATCTTGGCCTTCAGTCCGTCACGCTCAGGCAGGCTGCCACGGGTGCACGACTGTTCGAGGTGGCTGGCACTGTGAGCGGCAGTGCCGAAAAGGCGGACGCACTTGCCGCCAAGATGAGGGAGGTCCTCAACCCAGAGGACGTCCGGGTCTCCAGGCCAATGAAAACCGCAGAGGTGCGGATTGCTGGCCTGGACGACTCCGTGACCTCAGAGGAGGTGGTGGCGGCCGTTGCCAGAAGCGGAGAGTGTCCGCCGGACAAGGTGCGGGCTGGCGATATACGCACCGACGCCACCGGACTCGGCGCGGTCTGGGTTCGGTGCCCTGTAGCGTCGGCAAAGAAGATCGCCGATAGCGGCAGATTGCTGGTAGGCTGGGTGGCGGCAAGGACCAAGCTCTTACAGCCCCGGGCTTTGCAGTGCTTTCGGTGCCTGGAAAAAGGGCACGTCCGGGCGAAGTGCACCGCCGAGGTTGACCGTAGTGACCTCTGTTATCGCTGCGGCCAGCCTGGCCACAAGGCTGCCCTGTGCTCCGCGGCGCTCAACTGCAGCCTTTGTTCTGCTGCGGGAAGGCCAGCGGAGCACAGAGTAGGCGGAAGGGCTTGTGGGGCGCCTGCCAGCAAGAAAAAGAAAAAGGAAAAGAAGAGGAGCACTAAGCCTGCCGGGTTAACCTCGCTGCCCTCGCAGGCTAGCAGCTCCGCGGCCGACTCCCGGCCCAGGACCGTTGCCGAGGGGATGGAATGTCAATAATGGCACGATTCCATTCTCTCCATTTCCTCCAGGGCAACATCAACCACTGTGCCAGAGCTCAGGATCTCCTACTCCAGAGCATGGCAGAGTGGTCGATTCACGTGGCTGTGGTCGCCGAACCGTACTTCATTCCCGCCCGTGACAACTGGTTGGGATGCGCTGACGGTTTGGTGGCCATTATTGGCGAGACTCTGAGCGACCCGTCTCGGGGCCGCGGCTGGGTTGCTGCGGTCTCGGGCGGCATCGTTATTGTAGGGGCGTATTTCTCCCCCAACAAGAGTCTCGCCGACTTTGAGGGTTTCCTTGTCGAGTTGGGCGCCGTCGTAGGCCGCTATCACCCTCGTCCCGTTCTGGTGCTCGGGGATCTCAACGCCAAGTCATCGGCGTGGGGATCTCCGGTCACTGACCCTCGGGGCGAGGTGTTAGAAGAGTGGACGGTGACGACTGGTCTGGTCGTCCTGAATCGGGGTTCGGAATACACATGCGTGCGGCAGCGGGGTGGGTCGATAGTGGACGTCTCGTTTGCTAGCCCCTCTGTCGCCAGCCGAGTCCGCGACTGGCGTGTCGCCGCAGAGGTGGAGACGCTGTCGGACCATCGGTATATCCGGTTCGACGTCTCTGCCCAGACTGCGAGCGGCCGCCATCCAACAACCCCGATTAACGACGGCCCGCGTTGGGCGCTTAAGCGCATCGACAGGGAACTACTCGAAGAAGCTGCCCTAGTCCAGTCCTGGATTCCGGAGTCGACGACGGACGGCCCCGTCGACGTCGAAGCGATGGCGCTATGGTTTCGCGGGGCGATGACGCAGATCTGCGACGCGTCCATGCCCCGTGTCCACCAACGGTCCGCAAGGCGCCAGGTGTACTGGTGGACCGCCGAGATCGCGCAATTGCGCATAGCGTGCGTTGCGGCACGTCGCCGGTACACCCGATACCGGAGGCGGCGTCGACGGGATCCCGCCGAGGAGGACGCGCTGTATGAGGTGTACCGCGCGTCTAAGGAGACTCTGTGGCTGGCCATCGGCGACTCAAAGTCGCGTGCCAGGGAAGAGCTGCTGGGATCCCTAGATCGGGATCCGTGGGGGCGCCCCTACCGTTGGGTACGGGGCAAGTTGCGTCCCTGGGCGCCTCCACTAACACAAACGATGCAACCCCAGTTGCTAGAGGCGGTGGTATCGGCTCTCTTCCCTGAGCGAGTGGGACACGTTCCCCCGGCGATGGCTTCGCCCTCAGCCACAGACTCTCCAGAAGAGGAGAGCACCGATGTCCCCGAGGTGACGCAAACAGAGACGAGAGCGGCCGTG